GAGCCTAGGTAAGGGAAATCCGGACCTGAAGTCGCAGGCTGCGATGAAGGTAGTTTAGCCACGTTCGGATTGAGTGGCATATGCTCCGCGAGCTATGTTGCACTACGCCGATGCTGCGCGGGTGAGACAGACCATTGCACTCGCCATGTTGCTTGCACCAATCAGCTTGCAGCCTGCTAAATCCGCGGATGAGCAGGCACGGCAGGGTGCAAGTCAATTGGACCGTCCACCTTTCCTACCCTGCCTGGCAACATCAAGGAAACGCCATTACCGCAACACGTCAAACGTTCCGGCTCTGCTGGCATCTTGGTCGGACTGTTTCTGGAGGTGATCACTAGGCCTCGACTGCGTTGCAATTCCGTTATTGGCAAGCGAGTTAGCCCATTCGTGGAGGGGTGTGCGGTTCGCGATAATTTTCGCTATCAAGAGGGACTGATACTGAGATGAATATACTTTGGGAGTTGAGGAGCTTGAGTGAATGAAATACGCGCTGAGGATGTATTGACAGTAGGTCATCGAGTCCACCGATCTGCGCGCCAATTTCCGATTGATTCTATGCAACTGTGAAATTACTGCCGAAGAGCGAAGAGGTAAAGAAAGTGTTAAGCGTTGCCTCCAGAACTAAACTCGCTGTGACGGTTTCACAAACAGAGTACGTGGAGCTATGCTAGTGTTTTCAGGCTTCTGGAAAGCTTCGGTACTCTCAGGAATGAGCCGGGAGCACGTCATTTTTCAATTTGTTCCTGAACGACGTCAGCTTTCCTACATATCAGCAGCTAATTTCTTCATTTGGTACCTTCTATATACGAATTATCGAGTTTTAAACACCCAAACTGAAACTGGTCCTTTCTCAATCGTTGGTGGGGATGGGTTGTAGTCTCTTTAACCCCCAAGCGAGGACCTTGCCTGGTGTTGATGGTATTCTACACACCGCAGGGTCTCAGCCTGATGCATACCCAAGTCGTATCGAAGCTGACATGTTCATCTGCAACATTCTTCTCAGTTGATCAGCTTAGTTCATCCATTTCCCATATTCTGTACCCAAAGATGACTATCCAAATTCCAATGCCGTTTATCCAATATTCTATGCCGAATGTACTATCTCCAACTTTCGTACCCCTACTTCGGAGCGGTTGCACCCCACTTAGTAGGCGTGTTCCACCCTCTACGTCCGCTACTATGCCACTTGCATGTTCCGCCTCAGGTAACCATCCCAAAGCGAGTACCGTTCCACACCAGTTTCAAATTTGAACCGTATAATTTATCGGAAGGCCACTTCCACTTGTATCATTACCACTTAAAATCTGCTCCCTGTGGCACTCTCTGCTCGACACAGCCACATGGAACATGTCCATATTTGCGAAATCACCATTCCCCTGCTCTAAGCCTTATCACTTGAGGCGCCGCAGATCACACATTATCTCCTCTAATTGTCAATAGCTGCGGTTAGCACTAGGCCGACGTGGACTCAACGACAGTCGTTCGTTTAGAGTGGCAGCGGCTCCGCAGCCCCACATGGATGCTTGACCATGTAAAAATCACTCAGCCTGCGAGCGCGTCAAGGCTTTTCGCTTTCTCTGTAAATATCGAATTCCAGCCTCACTCAAAGACGAGAGCGGAAAGATTCGATGCTCCAAATCCCTTTCCGGCCATCACCGTTAACTAGATTTTCAGAATGCGGAACCTTCTTTCTAGAGCTTCAAAGTGCAGGAAAAGGACTACTGGAAGTATGCATTCATATCTAGGACAGAGTGGGGAACAATCAACTTAAGTTGATAGATTGATTGATTTGATTTGGTTCAACCAAATCAATCAATCAATCCGAAGAGGTGGATTTTATCAATCAAATCAACTTCAAGGCATCAAATTGATTGATTTGATTGGTTTGATTGATTCCTATTTGCGGAGCGTAGATAGAGTATCCTATAGAGAGCCCACCTAGCAGAAGTGCTTACTAAGCAGTCTCCTAACCCTGATTTTCATCCTAACTCACATCAACGCGTCCAACACCATACCACCTCTGTACAATATCGCACCCAGCAATGAATCAGAACCTTCAGAACGTACAGCAGGAAGTTATCGCACGCGCAAATCGAAAGAAACCTCCCCGTAAGGTTAATTCTATGCGCGCCGAAGTCAACACGAATGAACACGTCGAAACACCTGCCACGAACGACGACGA